ACTGGGGTGTTACATAGTGTATGGTATTTGCACCCTATTATTCTGCTAAAATTGGAAAAATCTGAAGCTTATTTGGTTTTAAGGATTCTGGGAAATTATTTTGGACATGTAGTCGAGTACAGTTTATAGACAAAAAATAGGCATCTGCTGCAGGTGTAAGCTCAAGGGTTTTTGTTTTTTACTAACATGGCATATGAATCTTGGAGCCCACTGCACCAGACCCGGGTGACTCTGACACTGACCTCCTCAGGACCCAGGCCTCCTAACTCATTCAGCAGGTCAGGCCAGGCAAGGACTCTTACCGAGCGCCCTTTGCTTACCCACCTTGGTTAAAGAGAGGTGGGAGAAGGACAGATGTGAGGTGCAGACCAAAGACAAAAACAATAAAAGGTTCTACGTATCTTTGCTGGAAGAGTCTCATGGCCTAGAGCCTGACAAGACATTTCTTAGGATAGGGAACTCATGGCTGAATTCTAGAAATTAAGATTAATGTATTATATTGTGATTTTTTTGACAATTAATGGAAGCAATTGTTTCTATTTTGAATGAGAAGGAGAAAGAGACAGACAGACACAGAGAGAATGAGAATGTAGGTTTGTAAATTATGAATTAAGTAGAAATTTCCAGTTTCTCAACTGTCATGATGTAATAATGAAATCATAGTAATAAGAGGAATTGAATGATTTAAAGCAATGTGAACAATTGGTACAGCATCTCAGAAATGTTTCTAAGGAGACTTCCTCAGCTTTTTCACAAGTCATCCCAATGTTTATTTTATATTCAGTGACTTACAAAAGAAACTTACACAATTCTGAAGGAGTTTGCTTACAAACTTTCACATTTAGCTTTGTGGCCAGGACTGCAAAGTCCTTTTTGCTAAGGGGCTTGAACGTTTGTCATGCTGTTTACTCCACAGCAGCAGAATGCCTGGTGTAGTATTTGCTTCCGGAGTTTTTTGGTTGACTCTGGGGACACCGAGTGTCACTCTGACTCCAGTAAGTAATGCCAATGGCACAGGTAGATGGATCTGACAGGCCTGAGGACTAACAGCATCTCAGCCGCCTTTCTCCAATGAAGGCTATACATCAGCACTTGGAATCTGCTGGAGCCGGAGAGAGTGACAAGGGAATAACATCCCTTTCTCTTCCATCGACAGGGGTAATAACTCCTCACTCCCTAGGGACAGATTGTAAAAGCCAATAGCCAGGAGCTGTGAAGCAGGGATGGTAGAAGAATTGAAAATTAAAGAGGGAGTGGAAATTTTGTGTAAGGCTTTAGTGAGATGGAATAAACCATCAAACGTCAATCTTTTAATTGCCTTGTGGTTGACACAGGGGTTTGCAAATGTTCATTTGGATTGCTTAAGCTGATTGTTAAAAGTCATGTATATTACATAAATGTGGGTTTATGCTTTATGTGTATGTTTTACTAGTGAATGTTATAATGTCCTGATATTTAATATATAAATTTCTTCAAGTCATTGTTTTAAAGTCCTTATTGACAACATATTTAAAAATATCTTTCTGAAGAAAGATGCACCAAATGCATTAGACTGCTTATGTAATCTGATGTCTTTATTTCCTTGTGCATATCCGTGTATTTATTGCAGCCGAACATGAGGGTATCCGGTGTATGCATATTACATACAGTATTTCCTGAAGGTTAATAGGAATTTCTGTTTTCAAGTTAACCATCACAATGAGTTAAGTGCCCTGTGGACGTCAGTCTTCTGGTGGCAACCAATAGTAAATAGAGAGTTCTTAAGGTCTACAGTACTAAGGAGAGTTTCACATTCATGGCACCACATGAATAAGCAAATTTTGGGACCCAAATGTTGCTTTGAATTAAATGTGGTACAAAGAAAAATGTAACTTTTTAGAATATCATACTGTTTGGAAACAGATGCCTTTGGACACCTCCTGCTTTACAGGAACCACACTTATTTAGTTTTTAAACTAGGACTGGTGTTTAGTTAAATCTCCTGCGGACTCAGTTCACTGAAGGTGACAGAAGTACTCACTCGAGCTCAATGAGAAGTCGACGCGACCATAAATTTTTCAGGCAGCGACAGGAGATCTTGTTATAGGAGTCAGAACGGGGGTCAGGGCAGAGCCTGTTGATGATTGAGGAAAAGAGAAGTAAATTCATTCTGCTTCAGGCACTTTGTCAAGTGCCAGTAGCTTACCATTGAGAGCTAGTCACCCGTTCTAGTCTTACAGCCCTAGAGGTCACTCATTTGATATAAATCATAGCACCGCATAGGCGCGGCAACCTATTGCCACTCGGGATGAAATAAAAAAGAGAAATGCTGCTTTCGGAATGGAAATGACTCCGAATATCCCACCACATGTTGCTGTTTAATGCAATATGTGGTTAGATATTGATCTCCCGAATCAAGTCATTAAAATGTGCAGTTTTTGTTTATTGGAATGAAGCAATTAAATGGTTCAGTTATGCCAGACCTTACCTTTTCTGATGAAAACTATTGATTTCTTGCCACAGCTTTATAAGCGACAATGTTTTTGATTACTCTTGACAAACCTCCTTGGAGTGTTAATTAAAATCGTACCAGATGAGCAGGTGTGGGAGATCATTAGATCGCCCGGATCACACATCTCCACTTCATATTCTGCAGCCTTGCATAATGAATAGGGCACAAGAGGGGAAAAACAATATCTTCATCAGCAGAATTAGCATCTTCACTTTTTAAAAAACTAGGTGACATTACATTTTATAGTACAGATGCTGTTGAATCATTGGCTCATTCCTACCAATACATTTGATCAAAATTTGCTTTTTATGTTTTGCTTTAATTTTTGAGTATCTAATGAGTTGCTGTTGCTGTTTCCGAGGTAGCAAATATTTAAACACTTATTTATACAGAAAATTGAGGAATCAAATAAAGCTCTTTTACTGCTTATGCAGATGAAGTCATGAATATTAATGTAGTTCATTTAACACTTAAAAAAAATCCCCTCAGTAAGATAGCATCAATGTGATTTAAAAAAATATTTTGCTACTTATTTTTGGGACCTGTATGAAATATGATTATTTAGAAATGTGCTCTCTTGAAGACTGCAGTCTGTGGATTTGGAATAGAACTTTGTTTCTGTGGCTATTAAAAGACTTACATTTGGAAAATCAAAAATACTTAAATGATAATTTATAAAATCAGAAGCAAATGATATTCCAGTTTTTGAGAAATGAAATAATCTTTACATTGAGGCCATTTATCATGGAAGATGATTTAATTATTACTTTATTAATATGGGCATTGAAATGGACTTTTTTCATTTTTGTATAATGCAAATAATTCAGATAATTGGAATTAGACTTAAAATCCTCTGTGAACTGGTGTCTGTAGATAGCAAGACAGCTTGTATTTCTCAGATTCATAGGACCTGAAGAGAACTTTAAGAGGTCATCTAATCCAGTCCCCTGCTGCCCAAGTAGCTGTTTAAAAATGCACTATTTTTCATTAGTGTGGAATTTTAAAAAGGATTAATGAATTTATAAATGTATTATTTACAATGTTCTGATCATGTATGTCTAACTGGAGCTAACTGTTAGATTTTGAAATAAGTTGCATGCATGTATTTTAAAATATTGACTTCTTCTAGTAGAATGATTTATGATTTACAAAGTGTTTTTCCATTTATATTCTTTCATTTGATTAATAACCAAGTTTTAAGTCTCAGAAAATGTCTTATCATTTTTTAAATGAAACTCTGGCTCAGTGTACCCAACTGACTTAGCAGTGTTTATATAATCAAGTTATTTGATGTAACATTGTTGTTTCACAGCCGCTAGTATGGATAGCTTCTAGAAAGCATAAGTCAACCTGAAATTGTTATTTCTGTCTAGTAGGTGAAGGTTATTTATGTTTTCTAGGTGAAATATAAAGTTCAGATAAGAGCTTCAATCCAATTTTCTAGTATTAAAATCTCATTTACTATTTCTAACAAGTCCCACAAATAGTAATTGTGCTCTACCGACCAGTTAAGCAAAATATTACAAGTAATAAACATACATGTAGCTTTGTAGAGTCTAAGAATTCTAATCTTAGAAACTATATGTGCTTCGTATTTCTGTCTAACAAGCCACCACAAAACACAGTAGTCTATGAGAAAGAAATTATTTATTTTTGCTTATGAATCTCAAGCTTGAGCAGAGCTCATCTCTGCCCATGTGGCATTGGCAGGACAGCTGGACTAGGGGCTGGAAAATCTGATTTCAAGATGGTTCACTCTGATGGTTGGTGAGTTGGTGCTGAATGTCATTTAGGAACCAAGCCGGAGCTGGGGCAAGGGGCTTTCTATGTGGGCCTACCCGGGAGGCAGCTCGCGTCGTCTCCTGGAAACACAATTCTGACGGCCAGGTTCCAACAGAACAAAGCAAAAGTACATGGCATTTAAAAAAATCTAGCCTTAGAAGGTGCATCACATTATTCCCATCGTATTGTTGGTTAAGGTCATCATAAATGCCTTCTCAGGTTCAAAGAAAGGGGGCACAGACCCCGGCACTTGGAAGAGAGGAGCACCAAGGTCAGAGTGTCAGAAGAGCTTGTGGAATGGGAGATGTTATGGCTGTCTTCTGAAGACACAATTGGCCACAGAAAGTATTTGTTCTCTCCTTTCATATTACATATATTATCTTGGATGTGGCTTAGTTGAGAGAGGTGAAAGTGAATGGAAAAAGCAAACATGATTCTAATAATTCAGCTACAGTTGTTTAAAACTATATGCATTAAGCTGTGCTTTATCTGAGAAAAAGGCATAAAGATGGGTCATTTTAAATAAGTTTTGAATATAAAAACACTTTGAAATCTATAATGTTAGGGCAATAAAGACTATGAAGTTTTTTAAAAATCAAAGTAATTGTTTAATCCATATCTACTTCACCACCCTTTGGAAAATCAGTTAAGTTCTGATGAAAATTTCTGTTTCAGAAAATTTTAACTATTTGGTCATTTGTTGTTGCTGTTGCTGTTTTTTTTTTAGATGGAGTTTCACTCTTGTTACCCAGATTGGAGTGCAATGGCACGACCTAGGCTCACTGCAACCTTCACCTTCTGGGTTCAAGCAATTCTCCTGCCTCAGCCTCCCGAGTAGCTGGGATTACAGGCACGCGCCACCATGCCCAGCTAAGTCTTGTATTTTTAGTAGAGACGGGGTTTCACCATGTTGACCAGGATGGTCTCGATCTCTTGACCTCGTGATCCACCCACCTCGGCCTCCCAAAGTGCTGGGATTACAGGCTTGAGCCACCGTGCCCGGCCTTTGTTGTTGTTTATTGTTATATTAGAAACTCACAGTGGTTTTTTTGTGGCAATTGTGTTTGATGTTTGCTAAGACTCAAAATTACTGTATTGTAGAAATACAGATATGGAACCCTTAAGGGTTCTTTCATTCAGTCAATGACCATTTATTGTGCTTCTATGATGTACTGTTCTAGGCACTTTAAAAGTTCTCCTGAGTGGTACGCAATGTACGCAATAACACACATATACATTTTATTTACCAGATGTAATAGAGAATACACTCCCAGTAATCTTCTCTGTGCTCTTTTTCTTTTGAACTATTAAATAGCATTTTTTGCTTAATTTGTAACCATAAAAAAATTAGGAGATAAACTAAATCTCTAGAAACAGTTGGAAAGCTTATCTTGCTCTTGATATATAATTAATCCATAAATAGAACTAAGAATTCTTAGTATAATTTGTTCAATACAACATAGAGATCTCTCTAAAAAAATAACTTATTTATCTGTTTATTACTGTATCTTAAAAATATATTGTCAGAGATCCTTATTTGCCTATATAATGATTTACATAATCAAATTTCCAGTAGATTTTTGTCTAGCGGCCAATTTTGTTCAATCACCATTTGTCGAAACATCTCACTATAGCAGGCATCTTTGCAGGCACTAACTCATTTAATCCTTAGATGAAATCTATGATGGGATATCAGTATCCCCATTTCATAGGTTAGTCTATCTGATCTCATCATTTCCCTTTTCCTACAGGCTTTTCCTTACCTAAGATAAAGAAGGAAAGGGAAATGATTGTGGTACTTGTTAGAACCACATGTTATCTAAATCATGTGCCCAGAGTTGTGTCAATCATAGATTTCACTTATACATACAATTTCTGCCCTTCGTTTGGACTTTTCATTGAGATCTGGCAGGACTTCAAACACAAGAGGATCGTTATGTTTCCAGCATGAACAAGAATCTGAGATCGAGTTGTGGCAATACAGGTTGAGCATTCTGAATCTGAAAACCTGAAATTCAAAATCCGAAACTTTTGGGCACCAACCTGATGCTGCACCTAGGGAATTTCACACCTGACCCCATGTGACAGGTTGCAATCAAAACTTTGTTTTATGCATAAAAGCATTACAAATATTGTATAAAATGACCTTCAGGCTGTATGCATAAAGTGTACATGAAACATAAATGAATTTTGTGTTTAGACTTGGGTCCCATCCCCAAGATAGCTCATTATATGTATGAAATATTCCAAAATGCAAAAGAATCTGAAACGTGGTCCCAAATATTTCAGATAAGGGATACTCAACCTGGACATTATTTAGTTTCTATGTTTTCTGTAGCGAAGTAAAATCGAATTTATTAAATCATCTTAAAATGATGTAGTTAAGAACAAGAAGCCAGAAGTATATTTTCATCCCAAGCCGTCCCAGCTCCATCATGCCTCATCCGGTGTTTCACCACGCAGCAGCAACAGCAGTGGTTTCGAAGAGCTCCAGAAGAGCAAATTGAGCATTTCGCAGATGTTCCAATAAAGCCGGACTGGCTGGTAAGTGAGTCAGGGCAGACTTTCAAGCCTTTTCTTTGCTCTGCAGGGCCCCAACTGTGCTTGCGTAATCTTTATACAAGTCATGTCGATCTGTTTCATTCTCTCTCCCCCTTTTGCAGTGGCATTTTTGACTTGAATGATTCTGCTTCGTGCAACCTCAGGATGAGCACGTGGAGGCTGCTTTGCGTCAGAAAGTAAACATGCGTATGCACAATTGCACACCACTCAGTGGTTTGTGCGGGTGGAGGAGAATGTGCTTTTAAGGAATAATCTCTCCTCTTCAGCAAACCAACCGCTTTCTATGTTTATTGGCCAGATTTTCTTTGGTGGTGTTTTTATGGCTTGTTTGTCAGACATGTTGCATATTAAACAAGCAAAGCCTGGATTCTCTTAGGATCCGAGGTCCTCTTTATTCTCTCCTCCGTATTGGAAATCATCGCTGTCAGCTCGTGCTCTCCAAGCTGCCTAGAAGAACTTTGGCATAGTTTTCCTAACCTTTCAAACAGTAAAAGCAAAACTCTCCTTTGATAAAAAAGCCGGAGGACTTTGGCATGTAGCCATAAAGGATGCAGGCGACTCGGCTGCGATCTGACAGAATAATCCACAAAACACTGAAAAGTTCTCGTTAAGGTCCCCAGAGTGGGCTGCGGCACTTTGCTTGTACTTAACATATATCAACTGTCACCCGGCGGCAGTCAGTGTTGAACTGAACACAATGGAACATCCAGATGGTCTAAACAAAGCGAACAAATGTTCACTGCTATTAAAAGCTGTTTACATCAACTTCCAGGATTTCATGTAGTGAAGTTTATATTGTGTCACTACTGAGGTGCTTAGCTCTGTCTGCATCAAAGACTGGCCTTTTATAAACTCCTGTTGCTTGTATGCCCATGCTCTCAGCACCTAGTGGAAAGCAAAGTTGAGGAATAAGTTAGGAAATACATAACATCAACTAATTATGCAATTTCAGATGTTTTAAGTGATTTGCCTCCATTCTGTTATTTTGGTCGTCTGTTGCAGCCTCATCAGCTCCAGACCCAATAAACACAAAGCAGACCCTCTTCTGTGATGGGAGTGTGTCATGGATGGATGGATGGGTGGCTGCTATCTGCCTCTGCAGACGGGGCCTCCGAGTCTCGTTGGCTCCTCGCTGGGGATGTTTACCCAGTAATGGTTTTGTTTTCTTCCTCTGAGATGTGGCAGTATCAGGTCCTGTCTTACTGGGGATTAATATACATGAAAGATAAACCCACACTTTTTTGGTCTTCTTCCTTTGGCCTCTTTATGGTGTCTCTTACAAATTCCAGGCGCACTGCCTACAGTGTTCGAGATCTGTTGTTGCCATTAATAACAATACTTATATAAAAGGTGTCCAGCTTATTTCTTGTTAAAGAAGAATCTACAAAAACTGTCCCTGTTTTTTAATCACTACCAATTTCTCTTGGCATAACATAGCTAAACAAATAAGTAAATACTAAAAGAATACTATTTATTAATTTGCTCTACAATTCATAGTATAACAAGAATAGAAAAGACCCTCATACGTGCAAGCTCACTAAATAAAATTATTTTCTATATAAGCATCATTTTAACTCAATTTTATATTTGTGTTAAATTTTACACACAACCCCAAAATAATTGTACATTATTTGTTGTGCCATTTTTGTTGTTACCATGCCTTTTTGTTACCATTGAAGACTTTTTAAAGATGATCTCATAAATGATTAAACTCAAATGTTTAAGAAAATATGATTTATTGGCCTTATTTTCTCCAGAAATGAACTTTTAAGATCAAGATGGATATTGAATAATGTCATATGCCATGACACAGAGCTGAATTTTACTGATGATATGTATGCCCTCAAAAAAAGGTTGATGTGGGCTCCTTATGAGCTCAGTAAAGTGGGTCGATCTCTGTTGCATGGGGAAACTTTTGTCTTCACAGTTGTTCTGGTAAATGGGGTCGTTTCAACACATTTGGTAATGAACAGGTTTGGATCTATATTTTTTTATAGGGTTATAGCCCTTCCTCCTTGATAATGACATGAGAGTCAAAGTTTTAGATCCCTTGCTTAAGTTTAAAGAAAAATGTTTGTCATTAAAAGCTAACCTGGTACAGTAGGCTGCCTGTATACAGTGATACTAACACACAAGGAACAGCAAAGCCCTCTCTAGAGAGCTTTTAAGAGTTGGGAACTTTTCACTGACAATAATTTTGTTAAATACTGTGTCAAGAGACAACATGAAAGCTGTGAAAACATCATGCGCACCTCTATAATTTGGATTAGGGAGATAGTTTTATTGGTTGTTGGTATGTGTGGTATTTTTCACAGATGTCTCAGAGCCATTGGATGGGATTTTGGAAATATGGACGTACAGATGTGCAAATAAAATGTAACAAAACAAGCACTTCAGCTTCTGCCAGGGGTCAAGCACTATGCCCACTTCAGACGAGCCATTCCAAGCCTGTCTGTCAGTCCCAACGCAAGCTGCTCAGTTTCCTGTTTATGCCTGTGCAGAGTTCCACATCCGGGCGAGCTTGCCTTCAGCGGCAGGTTTTTCCGCACGCCCCAGGAGAGCTCTTCCTTAAAATGGCTCATTATTTATCGTCTAAGTAAGCCATTGGAATTTTGTTAATTCCTGTTTTACTTAGCACATGCAAAATGCTATCATTATCTAGGAGGAGATAATGTTAACTTGTAACTGTTACCCAGGGTACTAATTAAGTGACCTTTGCAAAACAAACCTGGTCAGGGAGTCTATGAAGAAGAGAAGATGGAAGCCAAGTTTATTGCCTTCCAGCCTTTGGGTATATAACCTAGGGTTAACAACAATTAAAACCTGGCTAGTTAGTTGAAGAAATGCTAACACTTTATCTTTACTAAATTTCTTAAAATGTAGAAATCTCTTTGGCTTTGGCCAAATATTGAATTAGCTGAAATTTACCTGGCATCTTCCTCATTCATCTTGCCTCTTTCTAACTCATAGGTATCCAGATCCTTCATTACTTCTGTCCCATCAACATGTGGAGAGATTATGATAAACTAGTTCACACCCCAGTGTAAATGACACCTGGCTTAATAGTCAGCCTTTCCTAGGGATATTTGTATTTTAAAGGAAAACAAAAATCTAAGATAAGGAAATAAAATTCTCCAACTTTAGACCTCAGTTTGCTTGGTGGGAGAGGTATTTCTGAGGGTAAGCAGAAATTTCCCAGCACCCCTGTATGTCAGCCCCCCTGTAGATTAGCCTCTGAAATTGATCCTGAAAGCCAGATTTATATTGCATTGCCTTGAATATATTAGGTTCTATGGTACACTTAAAATAATTCAGATTTAGAATTTAGTTCATGTTTATGTAGTGAGAAGCTACACACTTGAGGCTTCCGTTTTTGTTTTCTCCCTGAAAATCTTCTGATGACCTCATTTCTTATTTATTTAATTTTTTAGAGACAAGGGCTCCCTATGCTGCTCAGGTGAATTTGAACTCCTGGCCTCAAGCAGTCCTCCTGTGTAGCTGGGACTAACAGAGAGCGCCACCTCTCCTGGCTCATTTCTTAATTCTATCTCAACGGAAGGAATACCTTGTTTTCCATTTTTTTTCTTATTTTTTTCTAAGACATACTACTTTTTTCAGACATTTTTTGAATTACATAAAGTCGTTTTGATGAATGTTACATTTTCTTTTAAATTTTATTGACTCTTTAAAAGGTACGACAGGAAGCTGAATTATCACCCCAGTTTCCAATTGTTCCCTTTTCACTGACTCCTATGAGCCAAACATGGGTGTTTTGGGCATCATGTGCCATTCAAAAACTTGGGGAATGAAAAAGTATGAAATATGTAAAATATTTGCTGATAAGCTGTTACTAAAAATGAGACAAAAACAAACATTCTGATTAAAGATCATTGTTTATTAATGATTTTGATTCTATGACATCTGCAATATTACAGCTTCTGTCTTAATTATTACCCTAAGAAACATTTTTATTTTGTAGTAATTGATGGAGAAGTCTTTCAACACATTGCACTCTGATTTATAAAAGAGCACAAGATTAAAGTTGGGAAGATTGTATTAATCTGACACTAGGTCTCCCTGTAACATACCTGATATATGGTGCGATCACAGTAAACATGTAATAAAAAGTCAAGGGAGTATATCCCAATATAATTGCAAAAAAAAAACCACCAAAGATTTAGTGGCTTTGCAAAGAATTAAAAATGCAACACTTACTTATCTTTTTTCTCTTTCTTTCTTTCTTAAATTTTTTTTTTACTTTGCCTTTTTCTACACATTCTAACACTTATTTTATTAGTGCTGAAACACATCCAAGTCCAAATATAAGATTTGATGGAATTAAAGCTTGAAGCTAGAATATTATGGTGCCTTGTTGTTATTACTGGGCCTTGAGAATGTGTTTAGTAATCAAAGGCTTGGGGTCTGAGGGGTCTTCTAGGTCTAATACTGTGTGATTTGGCTACTTCCCCCACATTACTTCCCCCTCATCTGTAGATCTTTTTCTGACGGTCCTTATTGTACCAAGGTTATCTACAGCTTAGAACTATTTGCATTTAGACCATTGGACAGTATTGCTTACCTACTCTGTTTTTTCTAAAAATTATTCACGAATTGTCATGATTCTGTGTTATATGGCTAATCGATTAAAAGGCAGTAAAAATTCAGTATCTCAACAAGTGCTCCACAATCAGCCATATTTACAAACATCGTCCCATAAAAACAGCGTATGATCCTCTGTCAGCCGGAGAGTGACTAAACACTGAAATCCTTCGAGAATCACTCTCATGTTGTGTGACGCATCGGCACACGTGTTTTATCTGTCATCAAAAGGGCATCCCATTTAAGGCTTTTCCCCATGGTAATCAAGGTTAAAGTCAGAGAAAAATTGTATTCCCTTCAGAGGGTACATCAAGTTGAGCTGAATAGTGTCAGGAGGCTGGCCTACTGGCCCAATTCCTTTTTATAATAATATTGTTTTAACTAAATTTGACTTTCCCAACTCACTGCCAAGATGTTTGTTGACTCTTGAGAAAGCCTTGATTTCTAGCAACTGTAGCACGGGGGCAGGAGTATAACAAATAATTCTCTTATTAAACTTTACCTTTTTTCAATTGCTTATTAAAAAGACTATTGTAAGATTTATTTGATTCATTGCTCACAGTTTCAACAGAGTTTTAGTAATCTGAAATCATTTAAATCAATTCATTTGTTAAATGATAGAAGCTGCAAAATAAGTTGTAGTGTTCACAGATGAATTCTCAGGAATGGCCAATTCTCCTAATTTTGCTTCTGACACTTCGCACTGCTTTGTCCTTTGGTCAGCCATGAATGTAATACATTTGTTCAGTCCACGAACAGTTATTTAGACCTATTAAGTGCCATTCACTAGGGACACAGAGCACAGTGGAGTAAATCACAGTTTGGGAGCCTAATGTTTAATAGGAGAGGCCACAGCATTCATATTACGGTGTGAAGGCAAGATGAGCAAGTAGGTGCTAGGTGCTGGCTTTTAGTGCAGGTTGACTGCCCCAGTCAGAAAATGCCAAGTCCGAGACTCTCCAAAATATTTTGATCTCCAATATGGTCCTCAAAGGAAATGCTTGTTGGAGTACAGTGAAAACATTCCAGGCCGGGCGCAGTAGCTCACTCCTGTAATCCCAGCACTTTGGGAGGCTGAGGTTGGAGGATCACCTGAGATCAGGAGTTTGAGACCAGCCTGGCCAACATGGTTAAACCCTGTCTCTTCTAAAAATACAAAAATTAGCTGAGTGTGGTGGCACATGCCTGTAATCCCAGCTACTCAGGAGGCTGAGGCAGAAGAATCTCTTAAACCCAGGAGGTGGAGTTTGTGGTGAGCTGGGATGGTGCCACTGTACTTCAGCCTGGATAACAGAGCAAGACTCTGGTATCAAAAAAAAAAAAAAAAAAAAAAAGATCCTGAAATCAGAATTCTGAAGCACTCCTTCTCCCAGGCATTTCAGGTTAGGGATACTCAGCCTGTACCTGGAAGAGTTGGGAGGAAGTGAAACCTGACTGAGTCTTAGTAAAAATCGGTCATGTGGGTGTGTATAATATGGAAAAAAATGTCTGGCAGAGGCAGCAGCCTGTACAAAAGCATGAGGGTAAGAGTGCTTTAAGAGTTAGGTAAAGAACTCTCATGCATGTGGAGGAAGAGGGAGAAAGGGATTCAGTCAGCAAGGCAGGGCTTGAATTGTGAAGGCTCTTTCAGCAGAATAAGGAGCCCCTGAAGGATATCAGGTGATCAAGTGATGTGATTAGAGAGGGGAAGGCTGGTAGTTAAGAACTACACTGTGTGGGTTCCAGTCCTATCCCTGCCTGTCACGTTAAATGCTTTTGTTTTCCTGTCTGTATACTGGGTATAACACTGATCCGAAGGGCTGGTATGGGGATTAAATGAGGTAATACATGTAAAATACTTTAATAGTACCTGGCACGCATGTTCAAGAATTCTGTTATCTGTTATTGTTATAACTGGATTGGATGGTGAGAACCTAGGGTGGGGAAATGGACTACCCTTTTGTATTAATCCAGGGGAGAAATGGTGAGGCAACTGCAATGAGGACGGAAGAGATGCTAATAACGGATTAACGATGTCGAAGGTACAAGCAACAGGATCTGGTGATCCACTGGACATGGTGGGGGGTGGCAGGGAGAAGATCTACTGCCAGAGAGAAAGGGGTCACCGATGGCTCCTAGGATTTTGGCTAGGGTT